TCAATGTTGAAAAGCAGCGTTCTGCCTCTGATGTAGTCATGGGAACTCTCAACAGAATTTTTATCAGTTTCGTAATTTCATTTAGAACATCATATAGATTGTTTTCAAAGATACATTTCAGTAGCTCAATTAATTTTTAGTATTTATGGATATCAGACCTATAACAGAATACTTTTAGTTCAGTTTCAAGCTTTTCTTTGCCAATCATTGGATATACTTCAGTGGTCAGTACTATTTCTTCTGTAGAACATTCATTCCTAAAACTAAGCATTTCTTGTTAAACAATTTAGCAGCTGCTAAGTGTTTAGTGGAAGAATATATGTGCATTATATCAATACATAGTATAAAGTCACATATTTCCTTAGCTTCTGCCATCAGTGTCTTTGAAAAATTCTCACAGTTCTTTCAGTTTCTTATATCTCAAATAGCAGCTTTGAAATTTGTTATATATTCATTAACTTTAAACTCACTAATTTCTCTGGATTGCATTTAGTTGTATATTATTTCAACATGAGGCATCTGATAAAAAAGCTCTAACCAGAACTTGAAATTTTCATCATTTAGATATTTTAAAATTCCTGTTGCTTTTGCAATAGTTTGATCTGCATTTAATGTTGAGTGAATTTCAGTAAGGCAATTTTTTAAAAGTTGCAAATTTTCATGAATTCTGTTAATACCACACGCGCGGAGTAAAAAGAAATCATGTTTTCAACAACATGCCAGAATTTCGGCACTGCAAAAGCGACAGTACTCTTCTCTCTACCCGGCTCGCGTGCTATTTTCTGTGTGCGCGTGCGCAGAACTTCCAAACACCACGTCGCTGGAACTGTGAAGCGCGCAGTTCCAAACAAAGACTTTTGTACCTTTTTCACAAAGTGGGGGATGGCTACTGACATTAAGTTTAAGGATTATGTATTGTAAAGAAAGAATTCGACTAAAGGGCACACTATATTAAATATTAAAAATAATAATAAGTGGAAATAGGGGGTGCTGCAGTTCCGCAGTGCTTATTACGAGCCGCCACTGTCCAGGAACGACTGAACCGAAGAGTCGGGAGCCGTGCTCACATGTCGTCGAGTGCATCGCGAGTTGTAGTGTGGAGAGTCTTGAGAATACGTGGAGTTCCGAGAACGACCAAGCAGAGTTGGGAGCTGTACTCCAGAAAGCAAAGTCGGGTGCTTTGCAGGAAGTTGTCTTCACCATTATTGACTGACAGTGTGAAGGCTGTGTCGCTGAATGTGTCAGCGTGTTTACAACAGTTCGACGACTAAAGTGATTTTGGAGCTGTCCTGAGAAGGTTGGTAAATAAAGTGTGTTTCAATACTTCATCAAGTGTCGGCATTATTCACTCCAAATTTACAAACCCCATACGAACGTGAAGGAAGAAAATAACGTAATAATACTATATAATGCTACTTTCTTGGGTACCACATAAATTGTACTTGAAACCAAAGTTTATCTGTGCTGTCCCTATCAATTAACTAATCATGAATTGCATATCTCTAAGGCACAACGGAATCAGAAATTTGGAAATTTCAAAAATGTTATCAATGATGCAGTAAACAATGGATTATTTTAAGATACGGTGAATATGAAATATGACTACACATTTGAAGTAATGTAGTATATTACTGTATTTAGTAAAAGGAAATGATGAAGGAAACATTAAATTTTAATCATTGCTTAGCACAGTGCGGAGCAATCGAGACTGACAAGCGTTGGAAGTGCTGGAGACGAGACGCATTCCAGACAAACGGATATTTTGAGATGGAATGGAAGTGGACAGACAATCCACAGATCCATCAAGATGTTTGTCCATAGTATCCAAAAGGGCAGATGGGGCTTTGAATGTAATTTCGAAGACTGTGTATTAGCCATCGCTATATGATCCCTATAGGATCGGATTGTTGGACTTGCTTTCACCATGAGATTACCAGTTGAACAATTAACTCTTTATCTTCTATTTCATTTATTTAATATTAGTAAAAATAAATCAGTAATTATGCTTTAAATGTGCTCTACCATTTTTTTGAAAGTAAATACTACAAACTAACTATTTCAATAAAAAATAAGAGTGCTTGAACTTATACTATCCGCCAATGCAGCAATGAACTGCAGTGGGACTGATTACATGTCAGAAGGCATAAGAATGAACATATATTATTTTAATGTACTATTGTTGTTATCAACCATGGGAAAGTGCAGAAAATGACAGTTTACAATCAGAAAGGATTGTACAAGGGGGGGGGGAGCAGAAGGAATCTTCTGAAGGAATTCACAGTAGTATTGAATACAGTAACATCAGATACGGAAACGTCCAAAACTGGAAGCAAACTGGTAATAAAAAGAATCTAGATTTGTACTATTATGTATTGTATTTGAGTTCTGAAAACTTCACTGTCCAATATCATTATTTCATTGTCCTAGACACAATACTATCATCACATGATGAAACCAAATACATAGCTATATTTCTGACTTAATGTATAGACTGCTCTTAAATTTCCATTCCAAGAGTACAGTTAGTTATATAAATGATGAATTCTCTTCAGCAATTTTAATTAGTGGCCCTTATTTTCCTTTCTTTTATGAGAGCAAAATCATACCGTGTTAGAGAATTTATAATATATTGAAAAAATATTTTTACAAACATTTATCTTAAATTTATTTAGATTTGAATGGAAGGGAATTTAAAAAATTGCAGTTGTATTATGAATTTTTATTCAATAACTAAGCAAAATTCCTAAAATGAATTTAACTTTTATAACTTTTACAAGAGTTAAGGCTTCCAGTATTAAAAGTGGTTAATAAAATTGATTGACAAAATTATACTGGAAATATAAAAAAACACATTGTGAAAATGATTTTAAATGGAAGAGCATAAAATAATCCAACAAAACTGTGCATAAATATAGCATTCCATATTTCTGAAATTCTCACTTGAATATGCAATTTAGGGGTAGGATACTTGAATCCTTGAATTTTCAAATCTTAAGAAATGAAAACTATTTGCGATTCGAAAGCTTGAACATCTGTGAATTTTTCATTACAGGAATCCTAACTTAAACATATTTACTATTTACTTTTACTCAAAAACTTACACTTTTATTTTAAGACCCCTCCCCCTTATTGACACTCAGTAGTAGAATTTATTTAAAAAGAAGAGGGGAGAAAATGTAAATGTTATAATTTCAATCATGTTTATAGCTTATGAATATTATTCTGAGCTGACTTTTACATTTTACACCAATATGATCTTGAGATGCTGTTTCAGTAAGCTATCTAGTAAAATCTGATGGAACTTTCAAGCTGAGCTTTCTCAAAAGTTCTTCAAATTGTTTTATGAAATCTCTACAGCAGGGGCTCCCAACATGGTCAGTACTGACAGACTAGGGTTCGATGATAATTTAAAGAGGCTCAATGATGATCCAAGATGTCGGCAGTATAATATATATATAACATTCATATATTATGGAGGAAAAAAAAAAAACAAACTTTTACTGGCGGAGGGTTATGTACTCCTAAAAACATGCATGCGTATGGATATCACTTATCATTAACAAATTATATATATATATATATTATTAAAGTCACAGCATGTAGTAAAAAAGTTATATAAAATACATATAAGGTAAAAATACACAAAAATTATTTCATGTATTTTTTAAATAATAATACTTATTCAAATACATAAATTTTTTATGCAGTAAGTGCAAAAACTGTTCACAATAAAATTATTGATACCTAGTAGAAGCAAACTTTATCAAATCAAATGAATTACTTACTACAGAAAAAAAGTAGATTTTTGAGTATTACTGAACAAGGTTATTTAAGAGTTAAGCAATTTTATGCCAATTATTAAAAATGTTGCTTCTATACACCAAGCCCAGCTATCACATTAATTAAAATTGAACTTATTCATATTCTTAGTCTAATTATCTTTGATTTATTTATGTGCAATTATTTGTATTATGATTATGCTGTATGTAATATATAAAATAGAGAAAATGTTAAGCAATGAAAAAAACAATTCTTTTAAAAGTGGTCGATGCAAGAAAAACTGTTGGAAAACCCTGATCTAGAAGTTTAGGATATATATTAAGGCATCTAAATGATTCCATACCTACTACATGAATCACTCACAATATATACCACAGATGTTCATATCTGAGTTATTAATCAAAATCATTTGTCTAACAATGTTTAGAAAAATCAACCTTACGATTCAAGAGCTTTTATTATGTATTTCTTTTTAAAAACTTCATCTGTGTTTTCTTAGTAACATAGGTGTATTCTTAAAAACATCATTCTTAAAAAAAATTTTTTGCTTTTGTTTTGTTAAATGCAAATTTCATATTTGCTTTAAAAATTTTAATATCAATTTAAAAAATATTATTATTATTACCATTTGAAAGATCTGAGAACTTTTCTGCTACCAAAATAAAAAAAAAGGCTTAAAATATTTAACACTTATATAATATTGGGGGGGGGAGGGAAAAAACCCCACAGTCACTGGAGGTGGTTATGTACTCCTAAAAATATACCCAAGTATGGATATCACTTATAATTAACAAATTATAAAAATTTCACAGTCCAGAAAACATAATAAAGGAACTATAAATAAATACAATACTTAAAATTCTTATCACTGCTCATGTGGCATTAAAGGAAAAAGAAAAGCATTTCACTTTAAACATTTTCTATTATTACAGCTAAAACATTTTTAAGGGAATTGTTCCATCAGAGAGAATAATAAAATATGAGTATTCTTTATACAAAATACTTCTTAAATGCACTCTTTAGTTAAGAAAGGGAAATGAATTTTCTATTTTTTTTCTTTTTACAAAAGTTAATTCGAAGAGCCAAGCTTATACGAGCCATTCAAAAATTAAGAGCCGAAAGTAACATGAATAAAGAATAATTTACATTATTTTCAACATCTGAAATTTGGAACAATTCTCACTTTTTTATTGTTGAAAATTTTCAAAACAGAAACTATGCAAAGTTGAGCATTTATTACGAATGGATATGTATAAATTAGGCTCATTCAAACTTTTATTTAAATAAATAATGAAGAGTTATATTCTTATATTTCTAAAACTGTAATTATGGCTATAGTTCATCTACTTCTGAATATGTAGGAAAGTCAACCAATTCAATTTTTTCAATAGTTTTGTAGGATGGATAGAGACCATTCTTTTTAGTCCTACGATTAATACCTTTCGAAAAACCATCCCAGTGATTTCCAGCTATGCCTACGATATCACCTTTTACTAGTGAAATTTCTTGAGAAGTTCTTGCAGTGTGATTATAAAATGCTACTTGATTGTGATCATTTTGACCACCAAAATAGAATATATCATCCAAAGAACGGAAATAGGTTGAAGGATCTGAATGGTAATTTTGCATTATCTCATATGCCAGACGACAAACCTGAAAAATAATTATTAATCAGATTATCACTAGCATGAAAGAAATGAAGATCATACTATACAACGTATTACTATGATGGATCATCAGGATATTCAATAAATTATTAATTACAAATTTGAATTTATTAATTTTTTGCATTAAAAAAAGGATTAAAAAATAACATTAATAAAAATAATAATATTCGCAAGAGAGTAGAAATTTTTTTAATCAAATTTATTATTTTTGAGAGAATATTTGTTTTAAATACATTTACAAGTCATTAATCTAATTAAGAAGAAGGATAAGGAAGAGAATTTTAATGCTCATTTAGTGCAATGCACTGTTTCATCCATTTTAAGCTGTACCTCTTAATTTCAACCTCATTGACTGGGACGGGGAAACTGATTCAAAGCAAATAAAGTAATTGCAGAAGAGTGCTAAAATATAATTATTATATATTTTTAGTAAATGAACTTGAATTTTTAGAAAATGAATGATTTTTTTACATCTATTCAAATTATTAATAAAAAAGTTCCTTTTAAATAATTAACATTAATACTGAAAAAATTGCGATTCTAAGTTGCATCTTGTTTTTAGTGATATATACTAGTATATGTATGGGGGAAAGTGTACTTTAAAACTGAAGAAATGCAATAAATTTTTCTGTGACTACCAATTTTAACTACATAGTGATCTAACACTAATATTCTTTTTTCATAAATTCCTTAAATAAATGCATAAAAAACTAATGTATAGTTTTTATGTATCCATACATATATTTTATATACTTTATGCATTCGAATAAAAGTATCATAACTACATAAACTATATACATACAAAAACTTATTGCAGAAGCTTCTGTTCTATACTTGTTATAAAGGAAAACTGCTAATTTTTTTTTTGGTATTTACATATATCAGTGCAATTATCTTATTAGTACCCACCCAATATCTAGATTGTGTGAAACTCTGTCAGTTATGTGTATAACAATTCTGCAGTTTAGCAACATTGCCATTTTTGCATGCATTCTCCTTGTTGTATTCTAAATTCCAAGTGTATAGACAATCATGAATATATTTTTTTTTTCTTAAATTCAATTTTGAAAGGGCATGTATGGGACTTGATTACAACAGAACAAATTGTGGCAATATTTATGCATGAATACATAATTTTGCCACAAATCATTAAGCATAACAATTGGTAGGAGCCTTTTTTCAAAGCAATTGGCATGAAATTCTTACCAGAACAAAAAGTCACTTGTTTATTGATCAATTTTTGGGATTATCTAATTAAAATACAACATATGTATATAATTAAGATGTGTATTTGTAATAAAGAGGTTTTTCTTTAAGATAAATTATGCGTCATCATTCTTTTTTCTTCTTTAAAAATTTCTGAACTATGGCAAGGTGGTTATTTGAGCTAATGTACAAATAGCTTTTATTTCCTCTTTTTAAATGCTTCAGAATTTATATAGCCACCTGTTCAGTATGGTTGAAGCCACCTGTTCAGTATGGGGACCACCTGTCACATCACAGGGCTTGTGTTTGAACTACAGAGAAGGCATGGATTTTTGCAAATGTACTGTAAGGAAGCTATTCCAACAAATTTCAAATCAGATGACATTAATAGCATGACAAACAATCTGAATTTGATTAATTACATCTACACAGCTTGAAATTTGTTCAGTGTAACATAAGTATGTTGTATGAGGTTGTTTCTAGACAGAATGAGCTTTGGAAATTTTAATAAGGATAGGCATTTTATCTTGTAAAAACTAAATATCAAACTCTGCACAAATTTTTTTTTTTTTTTTAGTCTTAAAAAAAAAAAAAAAAAAAAAAAAAAAAAAAAAAAAAAAAAATTACATAAAATAACTAGTAAATTTAATTTTGCAGCAAAATTTATATCTGAAGCTACCACATATTCCCTTCCTCTTTTACCTCAGCTGATCTTTGGGAGGTTTTAAGCCCAGGCCACGCAGAGATTTTTTAAAAAAGTTTTTACATAAGCTTTAGGATTAATTTCTTTTAACTTTCCTATTTAAGGAAATATTTCATTAAATCTCAAATATACTGTCAAAAATTATCATTGATCTTTCTTCTTCTTGTGAAAATACTGTTCACTGAGCTGAAAGCTCATTTAGCTTCAGCAGAGAATAAGTGATGTTTCTATACAATAGCTGCCAAACTTGGAATATAAAAAACCTGTATGTTTTCATGCAAAAACTGAAATTTCAGGTTATTATATTTATAATATGGTTAATATACAGGGTGTTTATAAAGTCTCGGACCCATTTTGATGTTTAATAACTCATTTAATAATGAAGATATAAACAAACTTATGGCATTTATTGATGGAATAACTTCTATATTTTCCTTTTCAGGTTTGAACATCTTTACTTTTGTAAATATCATCTGCGCGTGTGGTTAATTTCCGATAATTTCATTTTCCAGTCTAAATATCTGTACTTTTCTAAATACTGTCTGCTTATTAATTGCATTTTTCTCTCTTTTGTTTTTGGCAACTATTGCAATGTTATGCTTACTTTTGATGTGTTTGTTCTAGTACGTTTGTATGTGATGTTTTATTCGATCGGATATTAAGGAGAATAATAGCAATAGCCTCTGTGGATACCGATATGCTTGCCGGTACCTGGCGTGAAATTGAGTATTAACTTGATATTCTCCGTGTGACGAAGGGGGCACATGGGAATTTCATTGACAAGGTTCATGAAACTTTTTGAGTCTATCTAATCATTTGCGTCTTTACTTTTAATCTATCTTTATTATTTTATGAGTTATTAAACATCAAAATGGGTCTGGGACTTTATAAACACCCTGTATTTATAATTTAGGTTATTATATTTATCATATGATTCTCATGTAAAACATATTTCTATTTAATAAAATATTCTAAATTTTATGGTCTTTGGATTATTTTCATTTTGTAATTTTCTTACATTTTTATATTGAAAGCTTTTCTTTTAATGAAGACCTTTTAAATGCAATGAAAAATATATATATATGTATGCAAATGTTAACTGCTTAAACATGATTTGAATCTTCATTTAAGACAATTCAGACCAGATTAAAATTTAATAATGGAAACTAAGCTGACAATCATCAAGGGTGGGGAATGGAATTTGCACAATTGAAATTTCAATATTTCAATAAATTTTATTTATTGCTGGGAAACATTTTCCTCATTAAGTGTTACAAACTGGGAGATTCTGTAATTTAACGGGACACCAGAAAATGTGTTGAAAACACAGAGTCTTCATGTAAGCTACAAGAGCTTAGCAGCTATGTCTTATGAACTTGAATTTTCTTTTATACTATTATAAATTTCATCATGCAGTTTAATGATGTTAAAATCATCTCAATGAAATATCAAAAATAATTAATTTTTATTTCATGTTTTAATATAAAGTTTAAAATTTTTAAAGTATGATTACAAGATGCAAGATATGCATTCTTGGAAAAAATAAACTAGCAAACAAAAAGAATACGGAGCTTGCTAATTAGACACAAATTTAACAAAAAGCCTGCATGAACCACCTACAGCATACCACTGCTTCTAGTTACTAAAAGTCATCCAACTTAATGAAATGAAAAATCTTTTAATTAATACTGTAAGAAAATTTTCTGTTAAGTTAAATTTGATATGAACAATGAAAAGTCAATGGCTTTCTAGAAGTTTTCTCATGATGCTTGTTATTCTCAGTTTGCTGGCTCAGCAAAACACATTTCACATTGTAGAGAGTGTCTTCCAAAGTGTGTTCTATTAACTAAAACATACATGCAGGTTTTTCAGTAGTGTTAAGAATGTTGCTAGATTACTAGGTACTTGATGTAGAATCAAGATGAATGAAAGCAGTGAGTTTCTGCTGCTATAAAAGTGGCTGTGACTTGCAAGTGTAATTTCTTGCAAGTTCATCAGTTATGCAGGTGCTAAGATCTTTTTATTGTTTTGCAGAGCCATAAGGTAATATTTTTTTAATATTTTTTTATGGATGAATGAATGTTACAGAAACAGTGCAGAAACTACTGATGACATAAGATATTAATGGTATCAATTGAAGAAGAGGTTTCTCAGATCTCAGTTAGAAATAGGATATAAGATGTATTGAGAAAAACTCTCTCCGATTGAAATATGCCTCCAGAAAATAAGATGAACAATACTTCTGCTTGGAAGATACATATGTGATGTCTGATCTACTAGATCTACCCTGTGAAAGTTACATCAAAACTTTTGATGGACTTCTTCCAAATGATATGTATCTGCCATAGATTACAGGCAAGCATGATATATTTATTCTTTAACTGGGATTTCTAAAATTTTTAACTTTCCAAAAATTATTCAGTAAAATTTCACGTGCACTTGATCACAAGTGCATGTGAAATTTTAAGCAAATGAAAGAGATTTACAAGATTTCCTCTTTAACAGTAAAAACCAAAACTACATAGAAAAAATCTTTTCTGAGCTGTAATTTCATTAATCTGAATAAATTTTCATTTGGACAGCTTACAAAGTGTCAAGTGTAAAAGACATTTAACCTCCCGAAGATCAATTTGTGTAATGTTAATACTACAGGATTTATTAAAAACTTCACAATTATTTTTAGCTACATCATGCATTCTGACATAAGTTTAGCAATATAATCACATATTTTGATAATATATCCATTTAAAAATCTATATAAAAATAATATTGCTGATATGCAGATTATTTTACACACATTTAACATATTGCTGAAAAAGTTATAAAATTACTCGTGCAAAAATGCATGAAAATATGATCACAAAAGCAATCTATCAGGTTTTAACTTAAGTTTCCCGCCACCGCAAATATCCTCTGCACTAACAGTTTGCGTCGGCCTGTTTAATCATATTTTGTGTAACAATTTTTAGCATTTGAAAGAAAGAGACTTGCTTAAGAACACTGTGTTGTGAAATTTGTAAAAAAGTATTGTTATTATTAAGATGTCTGAAATGGAACTATCATGCTACCAGATTAGAACCATCATTTACATCCACTTCTGTGGGAAAAAAAGTCAGCTACAGAGTGTCACCAAATGTTTACAGCTTTAGGTACTAACACTGTATCATATGACACTGTGAAGGTTTGGTAACGAAAGTTCAAAGACAAGGACTATGACATTCAAGAAGCAAAGTGCTCTGGCTGGCATACTGATGTTGATGAGGTCTGCCTGTGAGAACTTGTGGAAGAAGATCAATATGCAACCACTCGACAGCTTGCTAAGGAGTTACATTGTTAGTGCCATTTCTTCATTAGTCATACTATGCTTCACATAAATTTGATGTACAAGTTTAATTGCTCGGTGCCACATGAGCTGACTCGAGCAGATAAGGACAGACATGCTTGGGCCTGCACTAATCTGCTCAAATATCACTGAAAGGTTAAAATTCTGGACCAGAATGCCACATGTGATGAAAAGTGGATTTACTTATACAACACAGGCCGAAAAGGGGGCTAGTCTGCACCCAGTCAGTCTGTCAGCAGCGTTGCCAAGTGCCAAATGATTAACAAAAAGATTATGCTTTGTATCTGGTGGGATTGTTGCAGTATTATCCACAAAGTATATCTGGGAAAAGGTAAAACCTTTGACAGTAAGGTGTACAAAGAGATGCTAGTCCTTGCTGATGTTACTATCATAGAAAAACTTTAAACTGAGTTCTGGTGCAAAAAAGGAATATTCCATCAAGATAATGCAAGACCACATGTGTCTGCATTCACCAGCTGGACTCCATACAGACTCAAATGGGATATTTTGCCACACCCATCTTATAGCCCCGACATCACTCCTTCAAACTTCTACATTTTTTCACACCTGCAGCTACATCTTGCTGGTGCTATCTTCCATTCTACACAAGATGTCCAAAATGAGGTTGACCTGTTTTTGGACTCACGGCCAAATTTCTGAGCCGAAAGCTCTGAAAACGTACCAAAATGTTGGCAGAAAATCATTGATTTTGGTGGTCATCACTAAATACACTAAAGGTACTGCTTTCATGTTTTTTCTAACTTTATTCAGAATGATTTTTGGTGGAAAATTTTAATTAGAACCAGATATAATAGGATACTGAATGAAGAATTTCTTTTCAAAATAATTACCTGAGACGAAAATGTGCAGACTAAATAATCACATTTAGAAAGCATATGTATATCCAGTATAACACCTTTCAGTGACTCTGTAGTGTAACGCTGACCAACAGATGCACTCTTAGCTATATTAGGATCTCCATAGAATATGTAATTAGGAAATCTATAAATAAATGCATAAATCATACTCTCTACTAGAAATGAATAACACACATAAGAAAAATGTTTCACATGCACATATACCTCCTCCTTCCCCCCCTCCCCCCCAAAAAAATCCATCCCAGATAATCAGAAAAACTTATAAACAAAAGACTGTAATTATTTTGGATTAAAATTTTGAAGTCTACAAAACTTCAATTTTTTTATGTTGAAGAAAGTTTTTGCATTTAATCTCCTTTTGTTCTACGAATTTCACGTTATATTGGGGGGGGGGGAGAGTATAATTATACTTTACTTTTATTAACAACATTTCTTATACATCTAAAATGAAGACTAGATTTAGAATAAAAATAAGTATGGTTATAATTACATTTCAATATGAATAGTTTGCCTGCACAGAAGCTACAGGAGACAAAAGGGATTACACCAATGAAAACTATATTTAAAAAAGTCATAAAAACATCTACTAAAAAAGGGTGTGTTTGTGTGTGTGAAAACAATGTCGGTCTTTTTTTCCCTAAGCACGCAACAGATAAAAAATATGACAAACAAAAGGTTAAAAATAAATCAGAGTACTGTTCAGAAGCTTTCTAAAATATGCAGCAACACTAGAAAATTGTGAGAATATATGGAATTCATTTACATATTTGGTGTCTCTCCTCTCCAGAAAAATGAGCATGTAAAAAAACTGTACAATGACCTTGAAACTTAACCAGGGTTCGTACACATTTCCTTATATGAAAATTAAGGACTTTTAAGGACCATCAAAGAAAAAATTAAGAACCTATCAGCAAACAAAAAAATGAATAGAATAAAGCAATTATCCATACAACCGACTTCATGCTTGTGATTTCACTTTAAAAAACTAACAGAAGTGTGTATTATGCACTATTATTAAATTCAATTTAATACTTACCATAAAACAATTTTGAAAATTAAACTAACTCCCTACAAGTTATGAAGTAGATAACATTAAATGAGGAACATAATTTCTTGAAAAACATGTATAAGTGTATTTTACACTAATAACAGTCACTATTTTAGAGATTTACATGATTATTATTTAACTTATTTGATATTTATTTAAACATAGTCAACTACTATTATAATCACAATGTAAGAATATTTTGCAGATTAAAATAACTGATTTGTAAACATACAATTTATTTCCTTGGTTTTTTGAAAGATACTAGAATAATAAACTGTACAATAAAAGATACAAAACATTTGTGCTTTTTTTAAATCTGAAATCTTCCTTTTCTTTAACTATTCTTCTAAGTTCATTTGCTTTGATAAACAAATCAATGTTCCTGCTGGTCTCAGCTTTATCTGCTAAAGCATCTACTTCTTCATTAATGTCTTTAATGTCCCTTTGAAGAAAGTTTTTTCTTCTGCTTCATATAATCAATTTCTTCCTTCAATAATATTTCTTTTCCTCTTTGAATTTTCAGATTTAGTTAAAGATTTTTGTTCTTCTAAATACTGAACTTCTAAATAACGAACTCCACTTCTTGCAGAAGCTGCTGCTGATCTCATTTCTTTATTAATTTCGATATTAAGAACACCTCCAGAAAATTTTATGTAATCAAATACTGTGCGTTGAAAAATGTATGATGAGTCACTTAAATTTTCAATTTCAATTGCTTTATTTACAGAGAAGCCCCTTTCCACAGAGGCCTGTTCATGTGACAAGATAAGAATACTTGTCACAGTGAATACTTGAATAGTGAAAATATACATTTTTTACTATATATATATAATTTATTTCCTAAACAATATAGATTAATTGATTATATTATCTCCTAAGTTTAATTAAAGTAGAATTATTTTAAAAGAGTGAATCCATACTGGTAAGTTATATTTTGAAAGATGTATATATATATATATAAAGTCCGAGATCCGGACATCTAATATCTGGAATGATCTAAAATCTGGACCTCAAAGCCACCACCAACCAATTGCGCATTAGATTTTTTCCCTCATCATAAAAAAAATGCCAGAAATCCGATTCTTAATCTTAGTTTGGTGCTAAATAAAATATCTCATTATTGAAGAAATAATTATTTTAGCATAAATTTGTGTGATTAGTAACTTGACTCCATAGCTGCGTATCTGCTTGGCATAATCTCAAACCGAAACATTTGTTAATTTTATATCCTTGATGCCGAAATCGCGAATCATTATTTATTGTATTTTGCTTTCATCACCGCATGTTTATCAACGAATGACAACTTGAGTGATGAATCATGCAGCGATGCCAAATAACAGAGTATTATACGATTACAGATTTAAATTTAATGCGCTAAAATGTTGACAAGGGGAGATTTAGCAGAAATTTCTTTCCTTATGCTAAAAATAGATTTTGTTAATGATACTCATAGGACAAACGATTATATTTAGTGCTATTTGAATTAAGAATAACTGATTTGTTATTCACATAAAGCCAGAACCAGCTCCAGAGCTCGCATGGCCGCACCAGGCGGCAGAATTTAGCGAAGTTAAACAGAAGTTTTTCATTGCAATGACAATGCCCAATCATCAATCAATTAACGGAGGGCGGAATCTGTAGTATGGTTCTAAATCCAGAAAATACAGCTACCGATAGTGAAGAAAGTAACAGAGAGGTTACTGAACGAGAAAAAATTTTGATTGACAAGTTATTCGGAATTCTCGACACAGCAATTACAGGACTTGAACAATGGAACTTAATAACTGAACAAGAAATTATATGTCTATAGTATTAGTCTAAAGTATTAGCAGAGAAAACAAATCAAACAACTCACATTGAAAGAAATGTTTATTAAAGTAAACATATAAATATTAAGCTCTTTTCTTTGGTAAATTTTGATACCCTTTAAATCATAAATGCTTCATTATTTCATAAATCACGATTTCATATTTTCAATTTTATAATTTCTACGTGCCATCTTAGTAGATTTAAAATGATCTAATATCCGGAAAAATCTCAAATCTAGGATCGCCGAAGTCCCGACGAGTCCAGACCTCGGACTTTGTACACTGTATAAATATATATATATATAATACGGAATGTATATTTTCAGTTAAACTTCTACCCAATAACTTTAGTAATTCATGAAAGTTAATTTTGCGTCTAGTTAATTCAGGAAAATTAGTTTCAATTAGTTGTTTTCAGCTTTAAAAATATTTAAAAAATTTTAATTAGTTATTTTCAACTAATAATTGTATCGCCATTAGCAAAAATTATGCATTACTATCAAAAACATAGGTTTAAACCAAATACTTAATTGTCTATTGAAGCTTCAAAACGTATTTCCGAACTTCACTTTTTCTCAGCTAGCGTTACCGATTTTGCCCTTGGCGACCTAAAATCGAAATGGAGCCAACAGATTTCCCGCGAAATCGATAAGAGACCCTCTGCAGAAATAAACTCATAATCCCGATATCCCATACATATAGTATGTGCAAAAGAGAATAAACTCCGTAGAAGGTGATAAAAAATTAATTTATGGCTTAATTGAAACAAACACAGAAATTAAGCTAAGCAAAACCGTGTAAAAACAAATTGAAATGATAAAACGAAACTTAATTTTCAATGTGAATTTTCAGTGCTGACTCTCCCATTCTAGAAATTTCAATTTGTTTCAGACAAAGACCACATTTAAGGATTGCCATCCATCAATATCCAGTCTTTGTAGTCAGCTTGATGAAGCCACAGTTTATTGAAAATGCACTTTGCCTTTCCAGGCATCTCGTTCTTATTGGCGTCGGAAGGGTTGTGGCCTTCCAGGTTGGGATTGCTCTAATTTTGGCAAATATTTTCAGAATCTCCCCCCTTTTTTTTTCTCGAGCACCTTCATCATCACTTTCGCCTCTTAAAGAACTTCCAGCTTCACGCTTTCGTCACAGTCTGCCTAAATTTATGGATAACACCTGTTTCGAAAGATTGCGTGAATAGCCAATCAGACACCGATACTTTCGTTCGGGTAGCTAATTGTTTTTTTTAATCGTTTGCAATGCAAATCCGCCAACAGATTAGTTAAGAGCTGTGTAATTTTAATTCCATATTCATGAGAAATCGTAATTCACACTTAGAATGGCAATCATTAGAAATGATAAGAAATGTCAAATGAGCAAAATTAAGGACCGTTTATTCCTTTTGGCCAAAATTAAGGACTTTTAAGGACCGTACGAACCCTTTTAAAAAATTTAAAAAGAATATTGAAAAAAAAAAAAATGGGATTAAATCAAATTATTTATTTCACAAAATAAAAAATTTAATAGGATTTTGAAACTTCAGTATTGATTTTGCAAAATGTAACAATTAGATTTTAATGGAATTTTTAATACATTAAAATAATATAAGATACAGAATAAATTCTTTTCAAACTAAATTCAGATAATATATATTTTAAATAGCTATTGAAACATACTTTTTTCCTTCATACCCCAAATTTTTAATCTCTTATCACAGTTTTTAGTGTACATTATCTATGAATAATTTTATGCATACTTTTTTTTTTTTTTTTTTTTAATCCTGTACATCCACTAGAAAGAAAACATAATAATCACTCCTCACTAGTAAAACAAAAATTATGTGTTGATTACTTATTTTGAGTAATAATATATTTTATTATATTCACATATTTTTTTTTTCTATAAAACTTCTTATGTTCTATACAGAAATTTACTACAGTTTTCACTATATAGAATTTTAAATCTACTAGTTATGCTACACCAATGAGCAAAATTTTTAGTGAAATCTTACACCAAAAATTTTGGTCAATGCCATGCTATATGGCAAAATTTTTCTTTTACAGCTATCTGAAGTACTTGTATATTCAATAAAATATTGCCATTTAGTATGATATTATATATTAATTGTAATTAATAAAAGTGTTCTCTTCACAGCAAAATATTCCAATCTTCTAATCTTGTTTAACAGAATGCTGATTTCTATTTTCCAAAAATTTACTAATTTTGTTTGTTTTAAATTTTCTTGACAACTTTTTTTAAAATTTTATGATACAAAAATTCAATGGTTGGATAAAACACAGTGGTAATATATTGATAGCTCTAAGACTTCATTAGCATGGTTACAAACACTCACAGTTCCTGAAAATAATTACCTGCCATGGGTACTGCCTTCTGCCCAGATTTCTAACTGAAATCTTTACTAAATCTATGGCAAACACAAAGTTGTTGCTTTGCTAATTTTACATTACACTGACGGATTGTATGTGCTTGTACATGTGATAATAAAATCTTTTCGGAAGTTGATGTGTTACCAATAGTTTTTATATATTCCTTATAATCAATTTTCCCTTCCATTCTAAATATTATCTCTTGAATAGCACTCATTTTAAGTGAAAGATGAGTAGTTAAATAATAAAACATTGGTAATTAAGGTAACTTTACATTCAAAAATCCTCCCTGCAAAAGTTACAGACTGTTATGTTATGCAACCGAGCATTTATGATTGCTGTACCAATATTATTGCAACAGTTGACCTACCTTTCCTGCTAACTGACACAAATCATCCAAATTTCACACTTCTGTACAAGACTTCTGCCAAGTGCATAATAATCCTTTTTATGATTGCAATTAGATAATGGATAAATTAAAAATAATATGCCATCATTGAATTTTAAGCTAAAGAAAGGCTGTTTAATAACCATGAAATCTAGAAAATGTTTAATGACACAATACCGTTGACAAAACCAATATGCCCATGGTCGGAGAACCAAATTACTGATGGCAAACTATGCAACAAAACATGAAAACTTTTGATTTATCTTCCAAATTTAATGCCATTAATTGTTTAAGAAAATGAGTGATTTACAAGCAACAAATATATATCTTAATAATTTAAATCTTTATTTGATTTTTAAGAATAAATCTAATTTAAATAAATTAAAACAATCATCCAACTGGCAATTTTTATGAAAATTTGCAGCATTATTATAATGAGTAAAAGATATTTCTAATGCAACACATTACATACTTTGTATAGAAACTTTTTGTTTTTATTTACTATTACATGAAAAAAAAATATATCCACGTTATAAGTCGAGATATTTTTGACAAAAAAAAGACTTCAAAGTGGGGGGTCGACTTATACGCGGGGCCATCAAAAATTAAAAGAATCGGAAGTTAAAAAATTTCTTTATATAATGCAGTTGTTTTCTTCCCGCACTCAAATTGGACAACTTATCAAATAAGTCACTTACTTGAAGTAATTTCATGACTTAAATTATGTGGCGAACTAACTAATCAGAGAGTTTCATACTTTAACTAGAGTAAGTTTCGATTAAACCAAAGAATTTTCGGCCTCCGAACAATAAAAAGCCTGATATTACATTAATTGCTCAGTGGGTTAAAGATGCTTGGAATGAAATATCCTCTGAAATGATTATAAAATCATTTAAAAAATGTTATATTAGCAACGAACTAGAACGGCACGGATGATGAATGCTGCTTTTGAAAGTGAAAATGATGACTTCGAAGGCTCTAGTAGTGATTGTAACGAATACCAGAGTTCGAGACTGAAAATATGTATGATGATGAGCCAATGACGACAGAAAGAGTTCTATGAAATGTTTGACGAATCTGACCATGAATCGGACGTTGAAGGATTTTGATTTTGTTATTTTTACCAAAGTATTTTTTATCGTATATTTACTTTTTTTTTCTCAGATGATTTTGAATAAATGTAGTACTTAAAAAAAATTTTTCGAAGTTTCTCGATTGATTTCGGAAGTGGGGGGTCGACTTATACGTGGGTTTCTTATTTTCTATGAATTTTTTATGTCGAAGTGGGGAGTCGACTTATACGCGGTATCGACTTATACGTGGGTATATAAACGGTAAACAACACTTTTACAATCTTTGTACATTAAATTACTTTTAAACTGATCATTAAAATGACTTGTCACTAATGACTTAAAATATCAATCTAGCAACCCTATTCTTGAAACATATCATAAAACTGCTACACAAGGTTTTCCCAAATCCTTACCTTTGTTACAGTAAAAATCTACTGCACTACTGCTATGCTATATCAAAGCTACCTGTAACTGTTTATAAATAAAATTAACATTACATATTAAACAACAATTCAAAAAAGTGAATTCCACAATACTAAAACAAAAATTATAATTCAAGACTTTTAATATTTTATGGATTTTCCCTTCTTACTTTGAGACTGCATTGTTGGTATGGTTGTAGGGTAGCCAGTTACTATAATTCTGGGTTTGAGTTCTAGGGAAGGCATAAGATATCTGTAAGTCTCTAGGGCATGGGCCACTTAAAATACCATTGAGCTGAAACTCTCTCGAGAGGTTGGTAGTAGGAAAAGAGGTGGTAGGAGATACTTTGACCCACCTTCCAGAGCATTCTTGATTAATACTGGGACAGATTGGACAAACTCATACTGTCACCTATAAGGTGACCAAAGCCTAAACTAACAGAAGGCTCAACCACTACTTTCTTACCATGATGGACTTGATCTAGAAGGTTCAGATCAAGAGTATTAGAAACAATAATAATAATATAAAAAAATCTGAAATGGTTCAGGTTTTAACTTTCACCTAAAAGGGTTTGTTAAGTTTTTCTTTTCTTTTCTTTTCTTTTTTTTTTTTTTAATGCTTTTGCTGAGATCACAGTATACCAGTATGCTGTTGCACTCTTTCTTGCTATGCCCTTTTTTTGTGTTAGCTTTATTATTAAGCATAATTTCTTTGCACTTATGCCATACACAATTCAACAACATTTTAAAAGCAGCATATGTCTAAAATTCCCAATACAGTGTTAAGTTAAACATTTTTCTAGTCTTTTCTCAGTTCATCATATTACTGTTCTGTTTTCTTAGAAAAATGTCTCACAAAACATTTTCTTTGTCTTTTCATTTTTTATGTTTTTGTGTTAACTTCATTTATTAAATACTATATTCTTCACACTTATGCACATAAAATTCAACTCAACAGAAAAATCACAAAATATTTAAACACATATCTTTATAATTTCGGATATACAGTCTCGCACGCTCGAGAGAAAAATGTTTTATTCCATACAGCATTGCCACTGCTTGATTTTAAATCGCTGAACTTGTTAATAAAAACCTGATTTAAGTTTTACAAAATATGTAAATAAAATTGAAAATTTGGGCATCCAGGTGCACATGTTTGAGTGGAGGATTACGTTATTCAAAATGTGATGGCCACATGTACTGTCATTTTTTCACAATATGAGGAACACACATACATAAAAGCTGATTCTTCATCATTTAATTTCTTTAAAAATAATACAGAGTGATAATATTTCATGGTAATAATTTGAAAAATGATACAGTGTTTAAAGCGGACAAAATATCTCGCTTTGAGACTAATAGTCCGTTCGGGCTAACAACAACAGAGAACACTGAGAACAAATAATCCTACTTACTTTTTTTTGCATTCTGTCAGAAGATTAGGATCATCAGTAGCTAGATAAACTCTTTTTTCTTTAACAGAACCATCAAATTTTAATTGCTCATAATATTCTTCTACGTGTTCCATATATTCCTCTATGGAATGAAACTGTGCTTCTGTGCCTATTTTGTCTGTCCTCCGAACGTGAACGCTAAGCAAATATAAATGAGAAATATGATAAGCTAAATGACATAATGCCTATAAATTCAAGAGCAAGCTTTTAACTGACTATAAAAGTAATTATCATTAAAAACAAATGAATAAATATATTGTATCTAGAATTCACTTCCAAAACAGATTAGAAAGGGCCTTCTTCATATGGTCTGTATACACTAGCAATTCCTTTGTGTCTCCTTTTATATTATGGAGAATTAAAATGTACATAACTTACAATGAATATACAAAATACAACTGGCAAGTTAACACATGTAAATGATACTGAAAAAATGAACAAATCATTAGCACTAGATTAAGAGCCATCTATCTGCAAGGTGGCAGGGAAGCAGCTGCAATGGGCCCGTGTTCAAATCCTTAGAAAGCATAGATGTTTGTAAGAACATAACATCTTTGTGCCAAGGGTACTGTCCAGTCAAAGGTCTTAAAAGACCAATGAGAGGGAAACATGGGAAGTAGACCCACACATCTGAACCCTACTTACTTTCCATCAAAATTGGAACAGAGCTTTCTCTTTCTCCTGGTTGTAATTTGGTCATAACTGTGATAAACCTGGGCAAACGTTCTTGGTGATGAGATAGTTAAATGATTGTTGGTGTTGGCCATTATCAATGAATACATTAAATTAAAAGTATCTGGTCATATGGAATGCTAACAACAGGATAAAGTAGATAAGCAAGACTCATTAATTAAACTATTCAAACTACGCTTAAAAAGACTGAAACCCAAAAACAAAAATACAAAATTGACTATGTCTGACAAAAAATATTCAGCCCTACTTTTTTCCCTAACAAATCGGAAAGCATTCTGCAACAGAACATAGTGTCGCAAAACTTTGATCTAGTTAACCAGAAAAATTAGCATATATTAATCTTCTAGTATGTGATAGCAAGCATAAGTCCTGTACATACTGCCTTTTATTCTAGGCGGAAATTATTCACCTTTCCTCAGAACTTAAGTATAATCAGAAAGCATTACAAAGGTTGGACAAGCTTTTAGGATAAAACTACATGCTACACAGATTATGGACTGATTCAATCATTTTAAGAGTGTTCAGACATCAGTTACAAATAACTGAGGTTACATCAGTTACAAATAACTAATTCCTGAAGTTTTCAAAATAGAAAATGTTGTAGAAATGGAAAAGCAATGTTTAATGATAAGAAAAACTGGAAATGAAATACAAGCCTTGTTATTCATATGTTAATATACTTAAGCTTAGCAGGAAAAATGACAATTATGAAAAGCAAATACCAGCTCTTGAATATTTATTAAAAAATTACGTATCTAAAATCTCAACAATGTAATTTAACTTATAAAGATCATATAATGTTAAGTGTGTAAGTTTATAATTATAAAGATCATATAATGTTAATGTCCATTCATGCACAGACTCTCTTAACATTTCTGAGTTTTTCAACATAGAGAAGTGCAACATATCCGTAAGTACACTGCTAACTTATTCTACAACCAAAATACATTGGGGGAAAAAAAAAAAAAAAATTCCAAGTGCATAAATGCCTATGAGTAAAAACTCTTAATCAATAAGGAAAATATTGCATGACAAATATTTCCTCTGTGAATTTCAGTTGCATATGTATAGACTTAATCAAGGTTGGGTTTCCTCCTGAAAAAATATGTTCTTCCAGAATAGAGAAAGGAAAAAATAGAAGGAGTGAACAATGATGCATCTGTGGGGATACTAATGGGGATACAATTATCAATAAAAGTTTAATTTATTTGAAAAAAAATGTTTTATTATTTCTGCTACAAAATAACAAAATGCAAAATAATTAAACTTAATAATTTTCTCCCTCCCCCCCCAAAAAAAACAATCAAAATTAAGGTACAATTCTTGTTCATTTACTGATGTATTTTGTGAAATTTTTCCTCTTAAATATATTGTCCAATAAAAAATAATCATTACAATTTAGATTTTATATGTAAAATTTAAAAAAAAATTACATTTATAAAATATTTTTTTAAAAATATTTCAAAATTTTAAACATGCTGCTATAGCTTGTTTTACTTCTTTCTTATCCAGCAGTTTCTTCTTTTTCCCTTAATGGTACTTTTAGCAAAGGAAATATAACCCTCTTTTCTAACAAAATGTTTACTGGAGCTCCATATGAATCTGCATTTATATATCCTGATACAGAATTAGCTAACAAATAATATGTTTACTTTTCTTTTTTTGAGCACTTGTTGACATCAGTACCTCATAATTTTTACTTCAGTGTCAGAAAAGACAGTATTTTTCACTAAATCTTTATTGCGTAAATTTTTTACACTGTACCATGAATAAAAGAGATAACTCCATAATTAATGCCCCCCACAATAAAAGGCTATACAAAGCATGAAAAATCAAGCTAATTAAATTTAACAGGTAAAAAAATATTTAAATTAGTAATATGACAGTGCTAACTGCTAACTACAATAAAATACAGATATACTAAATATAAATTTAAAACTTAATTTCTTCAATTTTTTGTATTTTAATGGAAAAGACCTATTTCTTCTGCTCTTTTCTATGGGGGGAGGAGGAACTTGTTAACTCTGAACTTAATGCACTACATCCTTCAGACATCACACATCAACATATACAGCAAACTAATTAATGTCACTATAATTAGAATGATTTACATCTCTGTTCAAAACATGTTCAGAGAAGTCATGTCATGTGTGTGAAATTTGCAATATTTGAATTTACTTGTTAGAAAGCAATAGAAGGCTCTCTATAAAAATGTGAGAAATGGTATCATTCACAACAGCCCAGTTTATATTGTAGTGCAAACAAATTTAAAGCAACTTTTGATCATTCATCACAATTCATATTTTTAAGACAGAAGTTAGGGAAGAAATAACAATTTGATCTGAAATAGATTCTTGTCATGTCACTATCAGCTTACTGGCCAATTTCTTACTCTCTGATTTTATTGTTCTCTCTTATAAAGATAGAGTTATTATTTTCAAACAACTGAAGCTAAAAAGAAGTTTCTTCTCCCAGCACTTCCAGGAATATTAGAAATATTAAGCATCCGCTCTCCAAAGGCCGTTATTTTGATAGTGACCGAGTTATAAATTTTTATATTTCAAACAGAATTTCCCTATAAATATACTGGTCAACTTGATATTTTGAAGAAATAAAAAAATAAGAAAGACACTAATTTAATCAACTATACATTTCTCCATCTGAATCAATAACATTTTCCAAATACTAGCATAGGGTTTTTCTTTATGCTATTACTACGGAAATCAGCCTGCTTACTGCAGAAAGAGTCTTGAAGGTACATTTCAAGTACCTCATGGGAATTTTATTCTTTTCCATCAATGAAATGTTTAAAGCTTCAAACTACCAGTCACTAGGCAATTAAAAAAAGAAAAAATTCACATTGAATGAAGAACCTTGCAAATGTTTATGCATTCTCTTCAATTAAGTCTATTGGAATCCATCGGCAAAGATTAGACACAATTCTAAGGTCCTTCAAACGAAAATGGAAATGCAATGATGATGAATTACCTCTTTTTGGCAATTTCTCAACAGTTGCATATCATTTTTTTCATAAACCACAAAAACTTAACCTGTTTCCCTATCTTTTACTGATTTCTATGCCTGACACTATACAGTTCATGATTCTCCCTTGAATTCCATTCTTTTATCAATTATGATATTTGAAATCAGTGGTATGCAGTATTATAATTGAAAATTAAACTACATGTACTACAATATCATTGAAGCAATAAAAACATGATATAAGTAACACATAAAAGATCTGACTGTATTTTAACATTTAGTATCTATCACACTCAATTATAAAATAATTATGAATTAACTATTAAATTATTAAAAAATATGAACAAACCCCACAACAGGATGTTTGAAATCCATTTTTTCTTCCACCCTGTCTAAAAGGACTTTCATAGAATCTTGCGGTCGAAGAAGGTATTTAATAAACTGTGATATCCACCAAACAATAGGATTGCCATGCAAACGGATTATTCTGTCAGCTAAATCTTTTGGTATAGCCAAAGGTATGTACGGAGGTCTAGGTCTCACATTATCAATAATTGGAAGATCTATGACTTGAGTATTTTCTGTTGCTAGAAAAACGTTAATAAGAAAAAGTTATGCCAAAGACAGAAATATATAAATGTTATAAAAATAAATATTCCATTATTTCATCAGTTGAACAATAGGTATGCAATTTGTTTATAACCTTCAAAATACATATTTAATTTAATTTATAATGCACTGAAATATATAAAATGAAATAATATAATAATCTTCATTTAGTTAAAAATAAAATGTTACCAACATAACCTAAATTTATACCATTTTTTAACACAAATTTGATTAAATATAGTTTAGAAAAGGCATCCTCTTTACTGCCTACATAGTTTACTTTATATTTATGCTTAGACATCACCTCTTTAACAATATTCAGCCAAATTTAATTCCCAGAATTTACATTTACGGTAAAAACAATAATAATAATATTTTTTCAAATTATAATTTGACCTTTGAATTATGCAAATATTTCAGAAGGGGGGACTGTGCAACTAAGTCCATGAATAATTTTTTTTTATTCCCAGAAACATAACTGGGCTGCTACTGACTTATAACATACACATAATACATATTTTGCATACACTATTACATGCAGTATTCATAAAATAAAGTAAGTTAGAGAAGAGTATCTCCCTTCAATTTTTCAAAGGGTGAAAGATAAAAGAAAGAAATTAAAAATCCAATGATTGTATATTATACTTAATTAGTCAATTATAGACAAAAAGAAAGAAATTTTAGAACCAAATCCACAAAGAGATGAAAGAAATTTAAAACCAATGTCATGGTTCCAACTGATTATCCTGTAGACATAATAAAACTCCAAACCCACTTGCTAAAATTCTTTAATTGTATTTATTCTATAAAATGTAATACCTGCAGTTTTGTTTACATATGGCAAACTTAAGTAATTTTAATATAAGAATCAAAAACTATAGATCACATATTAAAAGTCTGTAGTCAATAAAAATGGTACAAATTCTACTACCAAGGAACTAGAACATTTTAAATTTCATGATTTCATCAATACAGCAATAAAGATATTGTTCCTAATCTTAAAAATATACTTTTTAAGGAATCTCTCTATATATTACAATTTGGAACACTCTATGGATAAAACTCTTCAATCAATAAAAAATCTGACTTTTTTATGCAACAGTTTCAGTCTATTTAGAAATAAAACACAAAGAAGTACCAGAGGACAAAAGATGAAAGTTAAAACTTCTCTAAATACTAATTTACTATAATTAAAATTGCAGCAAATGTTTGAAATGCCCACTTTTAAGAAAAATATTCTTGATTACCTTTACTCACTTCCTCACAGACATCTACTTATAATTCAAATCTTCTTCAAAAATAAGTTTATAGGAAATAACATCATCAAAGATTTAGTACTTTATAAAATTTTAATTTAACTGTAATTCATCCCAGGATAAAAGAATTTTCTGTACTGTAATTCATCCCAGGATAAAAGAATTTTCTGTACTATCAACTTTTGTCCTAGAAGTTTTGATGATATCAATCTACATAAACAAGCTCAACAAAACTTTCCTACAATAGAGTCTACAATAATTGTTTGTTTCAAGTACAACAAAAAGTTGAGTACAGTACAAATTCTGTAATCCGGACTCGCCGGGACTTCAATGATTCCGGATTAAGGGTTTTTCCGGATCATAGATCATCAATTTAAATCTGGTAAGATGGCATGCAGAAATTATACAATTAAAAATATGAAACCATAATTTATGAAATAAAGAGAAATTATGATCTAAAAGATATCAAAATTTACAAAAAAAAAAAAAAAAAAAAAAAGCTTAATATTTATTTGTTTACTTTATTAAACATTTCTTTTCAATGTAAGTTTTTAAGTTGCTTCGTTTTTTGTGCTAAATGTGCATGCGTAAACGCACTACGCACATGCATAAAGCATACAAAAAAAAGTTAGTGGCTTTGAGGTCCGGATTATAGATTATTCCGGATAATGGATGTCCGAATTGCAGACTTTGTACTGTAGTTATATTATCAACCTTGATGAAGAAGATTCTTCTGCAACTTGATATTTCAGAGAAGGAAAAACTTTTGGCCATATGTGGATGAACAACAAAAACATGTAATTACAGGAAATCTAGGCATTGCACAAGATTAAGAAATCAAGAAACTTATGAAAAAAGGTAGAAAATTTAGTCCAGTTAAATTGTTTCAAAAGTATTTTTGTAGATATAGATAGTTCATAGACGTAGATAGCTCATATTGGAAGCAAGTTCTCTACTACTTTACCTACTCATCATTTTAAAGAATGGAAAAATGAAATATTAGAACAGAGCAAAGAGAATATTGTAGAAATTAAAGGATTTAAAGGAATTAAAAATTGGAAGGAAATATTTCAGAGTTTCTGTGACTGAAAAAAAATTTACTATTACCAAAATTGTTAAAGTAAGCAATAATTTTAGTATCTTATGAAAAAAGTACTCTAATTCTCTTACTGAAAAAGAACTTCATAATTCAACAACATATCTAATTTTCAAAAATAAAGAAAGGACAACAATCAACAAATTTTCCCTTTTCACAAAAATGGAAAATTTCTCTTTTTACTACAAACAATAGATTTTCCAATTTATATGCAATTCTAAAATTTCATAAACACAAATTTATGCTGAAATGGTTATTTCTTCAATAATAACTATTTTATTTAGTGGCGAAATGAGATTCAGAATCAGGACTCTCCGCATATTTTATTATGGGGGGGGAATTAAATGTGGAAGTGTAAATCCCCCCCCAAAAGGAAGTTTATATGTAAACATATAATCCTTATCACATCACAATAATAGTTGCATACATTATGATGTAATAATGTCTATTGATTTTTGTACTTATGAATTTGATAATTGTATTGATTTATAAATCTGACACAGCTAATAAATTCATATTTATTTGTATTTTAATCATATGAGACATTATAACATCTATCAAATTTAGAAGTTTGATAGATGTAATAAAGTCTATTATGTTTAAATTTAAACAATTTTACTCACATACATATTTTTTACAAAACTAAAATAATGCATAAAAGAAAATGTAAAATGTTTCATAATATTATTAAATGTTAACTTCAATACATACCAGGCCAAGGACCTCTAGATGAACCGCTGTCATCTTTGCATGTCTCACTTATTGGTAAGAATACAGATTCCCATCCTTTTTGAGCATAACGCCAGTTATGGGAACGTAAGATGAGAGTCCTTTTTGTACCATATGCAACTATAAAGCAGTATACAGCATGATGAATTTGACATCCATAACCACAGCCTTTATTCAAATTGCACAGGATTTTCTTAGCAGTCTGACAATCTTTTGGATTCTTCAGAAAAGGAAATAGTAGGCAATAAATACATAGCTAATTAAAAATGGTGCAAGTTTTATACAAAGTTAAGTTTTTTCCCAAACCTGTGGGAAAAAACCAAAGGGAGAGGGAGAAAAAGGAAAATGAATGCTGCTACAGGTGCTATTTGGGATGTCATGGAGCGGCAACTCCGAGCTCAAACATCACCATGTGAGAATATCTTGACTTTGCGTGACTATTGACTGTCTCTAGTCATCTACCCAGAACTTGTGGTATCCATGCCAAGGTGAGTTGCAGCTGTTTTGCAGACCAAAGGTTGCACAATGCATTACTGAGTAGCAGGGCCGTTCCTAGCGAGGGTGCAGTATATAAAAGTATGCAGGCGGCCAGACTCTTGCGATACTACCCCTAAATATTTTAAATTCATTAAATTAAAATTAATTTAATGAATTTATTTTAGTTGGCCAATATAAGTACATTTTATACAATTTGTCATATGTAAGTACTTTGTGAACATGAAATAAAAATTTTATTAATCACTGAATGCGTGTTTTTTTAAAATTTGGGGGTGGCAATTTTAGGAAAGTATGCAGGCAGCCAATGGCCTAGGAATGGCCCTGTTGAGTAGGTGGTAATAATGTTTTGGTTCTTCAGTGTATGTTCACACATTCTCTACATTGAATAAAGCTAAAAAAATTTTTAAGTTTATTATGGGGATTGAAAATATGCTACTTAATGCGGAGCAGGAAATGAGAGACTCAGCTGACTTGTTTTACTGTTCCTTGGTGACTAAATAGATTACTAAATAGCTTCAAAAGGAAAAAAAAAAAAAAGAGTCTTTACAGCACACATGAAAATGTTAAAAGCGATCTTATCATGCCCACAGAAGACCTTATTTGGTACTAATGTTTGCAACTACTGGTCATAGACATACACTTGCAGTTAAAAAAAAATTTTGAAATGATGCAAATTTTAACATTTTTACAATTAAAAACTGAATTTTGTGAAAATTATGAAATTTAACCTTTTGTTTTATAATCTTTTGCCCCCTATGCACATATTTATGAAAATTTCATACTCATAATTTTATGTAAGTATAATAAATATAAAATTCCCTTATACATTGTTCTGAAAAAATAAAACACAGTTTGATTCTTTTATGAGAAAAATTAATTGAGATATTTAAGTTCAAAATTTAGGATTTTTGATTCTAATTTCAAATTGCCCTGAAGGGTCGAAAAATATTTTAAGGTTGATTTTTTTAATAAAATTAGTATTGAATGATAATCTTTTAATCAATTTACTAGACTGTAACATTATTTAGTTTATAATTTTGTTACAATTGTTATGCTGAAAGAATTTTCACACAAGTAATGTATAATTTTTCAAACACTGCAAACACCTCATGGTTTAGAATCGTAATTCAATAATCATGTAAAGAATTTCCTTAAACTATAAATAGCTGATCCTTTTAATTAGTACAAATAAGGTTATGCGTTGCCTATGAGCCAATATTGAAGTGCTAATGAAGAACAAGAATTCTATAATTAAAACTCCTTTTTGAAAAAAAAGAAAAAGGTGTTGGTGTATTTAATTATGGCAAAGCTCACTAGGGCTATCTGCCTAAGGGGAGGTATGCCTTCGTGAAGGACTTTCTAAGGGAAACTGGCTCGTATACACGTTACACATGAGGAAAACCATGAAAACACCTGCTAAAAAAAAAAAAAAAATACTGATTAATATTTTTAAGGCAATTGACAGAAAAAATCTCATCACTTAATCCGCTAACATTAAAAAACATTTTATAACTTGGAATTTTATTCATTGCAGATGCAAAGTTTACTTTTTATTTTTTCTACAACTCCTGAACATGATCTCAGATTTTGAAATTAAATATCTCAGCCAAATTTTTTCCATTGGAAATCACAATTCTCATATTTCATTTTTATAACTAGTATAAAATTTTCCTAAACGTAAATACAGGGATCTGGAAACCAGTGCTTTTTGCGATTTTTTTTTTTAAATTTAAAAATCCCAAAACATGAATATGTTAATCATTTAAAATACTTTTGTAATTAAAAGTATATGTCTACAACCAATGGTTGTGAAAATAATGGTCATGTAAGAACTTTTATGGACAAGGTGTATATAAACAAAAGAAACAAAAACACGTTACTGTAGGTATACAAGTGAGATTAAATTACAAATAAAATGAAAATTATTAAACTAATTAATAATTTAATAATGCTATATATATATGTAAATATAAATATAATAATATAAATATGAAATAAGTATAAAATCAATTTCTTTCATTTCAAATGAAAGAGGTGACATTTTTTTCAGTGCTTTTCAGACATTTTTTCAGGGCCTGATATAGACAAGGAAGGGCACCAAATTTTTCTACAATATTTAAAATACATAGAATTTGAACTTAAGAATATAAAATTAAAGAAATAAAGTCTTAAGAATTAAAATTAAAAAATAATAAGGTCTTAAGAATATAAAATTAAAAGTGGAAACAAAATTTTAAATATCATATTTTCGCATTTTTATGTCTTCAAAAATCAGGTCTTACATTACTGTCTTGCACTCATGCTGGTCGTTTACTTTGTTTAGTGAAGCCTTAATTTGTACACTAACAATATCTACTAGTGTGTGAATACATTTGAAGCTCATGATGTCACATGAAGACTTTTTTACCATCAAAGGCATGCTCATTCAAGTTGATTATGAACTGACAAACAAATTAATTACATTAAGGTCTTTTCTCTGCAATATAAGTAATTATGGTTCATATTCAATCAGTAAAAATTCTAGATTCTTTTCTTTATTTCATTCTCCCCCAGAAAAATAAGACTTTGGTTTAAATGTATACGTTTGTATTTAATGAGCTGAAACTATGAGAATGAAAATACATAGAAATGTTGAACTAAATTTTGTATTTAATAAGGTGAAACCATGAGAATGAAAATAAATATAAATGTTGAAATGTATTTTATGTTTAAATAACTCTAAACCAAAAGAATAGAGCATATTACTAGATTATTTCAGGAAGTACTTTATATAATTTGCATCAGAGGAAATAATTACAGAAGGGGCCTTCCCATGAAATTTTGCCCAGTGTATTTTTTTATAAATCTGGTCTTATGCTTTTTTTCCCCAAGCAAGAATCTTTTCCCACCCTGATCTCATAAGAAAAACACATAGCCACAACAGCACTATTCTGTAAAATCAGCATAAATGCAAGGCTAATTTCTGCTTAATTTTGTTTTTAAAATAATCAATAACAGTTATGGTGCTGAATAAATTTATGATAAAAAATATAAAATATTAAAACCGACATAAATTTATGTGAAAATTTATTTTACATAGAAAAATATTAATGACAGATATAATTTTACTATACAAATTTTAAATACATTACTTGAAGGTGATAGAGTCTCTTTTGTACAATGTTGCTCAACTCTTCAGCTTCTTTTCTGCGCCATTCAGCAAGACCATCCATGTCTTTTAATTTTTTCATGTCAGACAAAATAGCTCTATGTGTTTTTTACAAAATTAATATATATACCAACTGAATAAAACTAAAGAATACACTAAGTACTGGCAAAAGTAAACAGTGGAAGAATAAACCACAGACTGCATTTACCACAAAACAAAACATTTATGCAACTGAAAGCATTTTAAACCTTTAAATTTTAAATAATATTTAATGCAATTTTAACAAGCATAGAAATATTTAGATGCATTACTGAGACAACACAGCAAACTTTTGTACATATTCCATTAGGTCAAACACATTCAGATATTCAGAAAAAGAAAAAATAATTTTTTTCTTCATTTAAATACTGGGGGAAACACAATTTTTAAATCATGGACACACACACAAATTATTTTCATTTCTAACACAGAATTCCCATATAATAGTTACTAAATATTTAAGTTTCATCAGCAAAATTTTAATAAAAAAATTTTTTTTCTAACAAATTTATTTTGTTCAACCTAGAACAGTGATTCTCAACCTTTTTTGTCACGGCACACTTTTACCAATTTAAAAATTTGGCGGCACACAAAGAAAAAGGTAAGTTTAAAAGTTGTTTACTTACCTATAATACACTGTGTAAAATAGTTTATGATGATGATTCTGAATGTAAAATAAAATAATATGTACTACAAAATCAGCAGTATGTTTATTAAGGCATTAATTACAAGTTAATAATAAGAATACTTTTGATGAGAAATTTGAGCTTGATGTATTTGATAATTTCATTTATATTTATTTTTAAAAAAGACAATGCTACTCTCATATTGTCTTCTACATCTAAGTCTCAATCTTTTTTTCGTTTTTATGTTGGTTAATACTGAAAATCCAAATTAACACAAATAAGATGTTGAAAGCTGTAATAATATTTTTAAAGCATTTTTGGCTATCATGGGTTAATCACATCTAATGTTAATTCAAAGATTAATTGATTCTTCTGAATATTTTAAAATTAAATCTCAATTATTAGAAAGCGAAATTAGTTCTTCCTCTTCGTTCAAAGTTAATTCAAATACAGAAGTATTCGGTACTAAAATTGGCTTCGATACCAAAATTGGCATGCTTCTTAATGTCTTAAAAACCGAATTTTGCCATTTCTCATGCGTATCGTATACTAAGATTAAACCCATTGTAATTTTTATTATATACATTCCTAATATTTGGCGGCACAGTGGCTGAGAATCACTGACCTAGAAGATTACATTTTTAATAGTTTTTCCATCAAAAGAAAATGTTCTCTCTATTGATATATAGCAGTTTTAGAGCAGAAACTAAGTACTAATTATGCATTAATAGATTAAAAATATATATGCTTAAATGCTTCCCTTAACTTTCCCTCTCAATTTTTTTAATATTAATTAAATACATTTTAAAGATTTAGCATAAATTATACTACATTCTATTTCTAATAAGCATGATACTATAGTACGAGGGCAATCCTCCCAAAAAAAGGTCTCCTTTATTTTTAGATATACAAAGAACTGTTTATTTTCTATAATTGTGGGAAACGTTATGTCATGATATTCCCTAATCCCCTACTGTATGACGTATGCATTGCATCAGCATGTGTTTCCCGCCTTCGGAAGAAGACGAGGATTAGCTGGCGAGCGGAGCAGACGTCGCTCGATCGCTCGTATACCATTTTCATTAATTGTAATCCTAATGTAATCTATATTTGTAAATAGTAATAAATGTGTGTTATCAACTATGGTCGTTGCCTTTCCCCACATTTTGGGGGCTCGACCGTGCCTTTTGTGCATGCGTTATAATCGAACCCTAGACACCAGCAATCACTAAAGACGTTCAGAAAGCTAACAAAGGCAAGACGTGCCTTTATGACGATTTAATATTCTTCTTCAAGCTAGACGACGTATGTGAATTAAGACGTGCCTTTATGACGATTTAATATTCTTCTTCAAGCCAGACGACGTATGTGAATGAAGACGTGCCTTTATGACGATTTAATATTCTTCAAGCTGGACGACATATGTGAATGATGTTACATGCTACTTGTCCGTTCTTCTGATTTTGGACGTTAAATCGAAATTCGATTTTGGATTACATTGGATTGGCCAAGAAATATATTGGATTATAAGGACTGCCCCGAAGTTAGGTAGGCCCATTTTTCCCTGATTCGTTCATAATTTATTAGTATTACGATTTTAAGCTGTGTTTATACTGTTTAATTCTCATTCATACATACCCTATTTCATATTCATATTGTCCTATTTTACTGTTTAAAGAACTATGGCCCTAAAATTAGGTGATATCCCATTGATAGCGAATTCTCTTAAATATGGCACAACACGAGTTATTAAATTATTTAATACCGTGCTCGGATATTCCGATTTTGATCATTCTTCGCGAAAGAGAATGCGAAATTTTGCCGCGTTCCCGGACAGTTTCGATTTGGCAAAACATAAAGAACTTCTATTAAAAGATTTTTCTTTATCAGATTTTATATCAGTGGCGAATTTATTGCATTTGGAAGCTTCCACTAATAAAGATGTTTTATGTGAAAAAATTTTTCATGCGCTCACTAATCTGACGGATTTTTACACAATTCCCTAGATGTTAGTTTTTTATCCGATGACGATCATTCAATTTCAAACACCGACAGTGCACCGACGCCTGTAGGTCTAAGTTCTTCTGTTCCCCCTTTCCCCTCCCTCCACGGCGCCAAGCCCAAATCGCGTTGTTTCTTCTGACGCGGAAGTAATAAATTTGAATTCGAGTCGCTCCGGTGTTTTATATGACGGCGAACACCGAGATTCGCGAGATGAGTCATGACTTATGGTTTATTTTGAGAGATCTTTCAAACACTTGCAGAAACTTTTCAGGCAATGATTCCTATTCAGTCCGTGTGCTTTTTTCAACGATATAGAGGATAATTTCCAATTATTCCCAAATCTTACCGACCAGCAAAAATTAGTTTTTTGCGAAACGACTTGTTGTGGGTACTGCTAAAACTTTTTTGTTTTCACAACGGAATCTCAATTCATACGACATGTTTAAAACAGTATTACTTAATGAGTTCTCCGATAAAATTACGTCTATTGAAATTCATAAACAACTCGAAAGAAGAAAAATGCGCTCGAATGAAAGCTTTATGCAATATTTTATCGCAATGCGCGAAATTGCGAATCGTGGTGACGGTGTTATCGACGAGGCTTCTGTCATTCAGTATACCATTCAAGGAATACTAGGTACCCCATCCGATAAAATTATTCTCTACGGTGCAAAATCATATTCTGAATTCAAGGAAAAGCTACGCACTTATGAATCTGTAGTTACGACTAGACATACAAATATCTCTCATCCATCAAACTTTTAAAAATACGTAATAATGGCCCCAGACGTGGTACTGGACGAAAAAATTCAGACCAACAACACGACACGAAATTTAATAATACTGGTCCATCTAAAACTAAACCACAAACTTGTTTTAACTGCAATGAGGTCGGACACCTCTCACGGTCCTGTCCTAATCGTTCTCTTGGCCCAAAGTGTCTAACTTGTGGTCGTTTTGGACATAAATCTATGGATTGCCGCCCCACTACATCAAATGAGACTTCCACTCCACCTGCCGAAGTAAATACAGTACAAACCTCTCACGGTAATATGTGTAAAACTGTCGTTATACTCAATAGCACAGTTTCTGGATTAATTGACACTGGAAGTGAGGTCACATTACTGAACGAAAACACATGGATTCAACTTGGTTCCCCACCACTTTCAAATAATTCTGGAGTGTTAACTGGTTTCGGATTCTCGAAAATTCCTATTATTGGCTATTTTCAAACCATTATCAACATTGATAACCAGGACTTTCCGGCTAATATTAGAGTTGTTCCAAATCATTCTATGCAATTTTCTCTTATTGTAGGATGTGACGTAATTAAAAATGCTAAATTAACTATTACACCAGACGGTATATATTTTTCAAAACCTCCCGAGCAATGCTTTGAAACTGCTCCTGAATCTTTCATTTTTGCAATAAATGACGATGTTCCAGCTTTTGATATTGGTTCAAATGTTTCCAAAGAAACTCGTGCTGCGGCAGAACGTTTGCTGAATTCTTATGTCCCAAATAAAACAAAGACGACAGATATTAAACTTAATATCACTCTATCCGATGATAAACCGATTTTTCACCCTCCTAGACGCCTTCCTTTTGTTGAACGGGAAATTGTTGACAAACAAATAAATGAATGGAACTTAAAATTATTGAACCTTGTTCATCTCCATATGCCAGTCAAGTTCTCGTGGTGCGTAAAAAAAATGGTACACCCCGTGTTTGCATCGATTATAGGAAACTTAATCGACTTTTAATTAAGGATCATTTTCCTCTTCCTCTTATTGATGACATTTTGGATAAACTTCAAGACGCCCAAATTTTTAGTACTCTTGACCTACGTAACGGCTTTTTTCATGTGCCAGTAGCGGACGAAAGTAAACCATATACAGCTTTTGTAACTCACAATGGACAATTCCAGTTTCTTCGAATGCCATTTGGTCTTTCAAATTGCCCTTCAGTATTCCAGCGCTTTATAAATTATGTTTTTCGTGATTTAATTGTCAAAGGTTATGTTTTACCCTACATGGACGATGTAGTTATTCCCGCCAAAAATGAAAATGAGGCCATTCATCGTCTCAATCAAGTACTCAAAGTTGCTAGTGAATATGGTCTAGAAGTTAATTTTCGTAAATGTCAATTTCTTCACAAAACAAATCGAATTTCTTGGACATCTCGTTGAAGGTGGTAAGCTTTTTCCTTCCCCTTCGAAAACAAAATCTGTAAATAACTACCCCGAACCTAAGAGTACGAAAGACGTCCAACGCTTTCTCGGTCTCACGGGATATTTTAGGAAATTCATCCCTTCATATTCTAGCATTGCAAAACCCCTTAGTGATCTCCTTCGTAAGGACACCCCCTTTCAATTTCATGCTGATCAGAAAGCCGCATTTCACAGATTAAAATATTTGCTTTCTCACCAACCAGTTTTAAGTATTTTTAATCAAAAGAGTCCTATCGAAATTCATACCGACGCATCCATTGATGGCATCCATCGAGGCCCTGCATTCAAATCCACTGCATTTGCAAACTATTGTGACACACAAAGAATAAAGCATGTTCTTATTACAGCTGGCCTCCCACGATCGAACGGTCAAGTTGAGCGTTTGAACTCCATTATTATTGCTGTCCTTTCTAAATTCTCCATAACCAACCCTGAGCAATGGTACCGTCATGTTCCCTCCGTGCAACAAATTATTAATTCAACTTTTCAACGTAGCATCAATTCCACTCCCTTTGAACTTTAGGACTTTAATGACTAAAATTCTTTAGGACTAAAATGAAATCGCAAAACGACATAAACACCGCTGCTCTAATCGACGAGGAGATCAAATCTGCATTTATTCAGCAACGTGATGATCTCCGTAAGGACGCAAAACAGCAAATCTCTAAAGTGCAAGACGAAAATCGCCGTACTTATAATTTGCGACAAAAACAGGCACAAAAATTTCAACTTCATGACCTTGTGGCTATCAAACGAACTCAGTATGGCCCTGGTCTAAAACTCAAATAGAAATTTCTCGGACCTTATAAAGTCACCAGGCTCAAACAAAATGACACATATGATGTGGAAAAGTGTGCATTTTTCGACGGACCATCCAAAACATCTACTTGTGCTGAATACATGAAACCCTGGTCCAACAATATTGAACGTATCACTTGATTTTTATACAACTGTCAGCATTATAGGTCCTCCTGTGTTTGGACAGATGACACCTGAGAACTTTCTAATAATTTTTTTTCCTCATATCAACTTTTTAATTCATTTTGTCATACTAATGTTCTTTTTATTTTTAGTTAACTGCTGTGGTGTGTTTAAACTATTTTTTGCTCCATTTGTGTAAGTATCCTCAGCTTTGTATCTACAGATTATTTTTTTCCATACCTATGTTACTATATTATAATATTTTTTTTTTAATTTGATGATATACTATGTTGCTTCAGGCGAGGTCGCCTGTCCGGTCATGATGGCCGAATGTGGGAAACGTTATGTCATGATATTCCCTAATCCCCTACTGTATGACATATGCATTGCGTCAGCATGTGTTTCCCGCCTTCGGAAGAAGACGAGGATTAGCTGGCGAGCGGAGCAGACGTCGCTCGATCGCTCGTATACCATTTTCATTAATTGTAATCCTAATGTAATCTATATTTGTAAATAGTAATAAATGTGTGTTATCAACTATGGTCGTTGCCTTTCCCCACATAATTGCTACATCACTTTAAAGATTGAAGAATGCTTTATTTTTCAACATAATCGCCATTTCGGTCGATGCATTTTTGTAGACGCTGTGACAGTTTTACAATGCCCATGTCATACCAGCTTGCCGTCATGCCCTTCAGGAAGCGTTGAACCTCATCTTTCACCTCATCATCGGAGCAGAACCACTGTCCAGACAAATGTTCCTTCATTCGCGGGAAAAAATCAACCCGTTGCCGTTTGTGACCTTCTGTCAGCATGTGCGGCACCCATCTTGCACACACCTTCCGATATTGCAACTTTTCCATTAAAATCCTGTGGATGGTGCTTCTGGAAACCGCAGAAACCAAAATGTAGAGAGCATCCAGAGCGATCGTCCAATCTTTATGCATGAGTTCCTCAACTTTCGCGATTGTCTCGTTGGCAATTGATGGCCTCCCGCTCCTTTCTTCGTCATGAATTTCAGTATGACCGGCTGTAAACTCTCTACACCACTTGCAAACGTTTTGACATCCATGCACGACTGTTCATATACTTCTGTCAATAGGCAGTGAATTTCAACCGGTTTAACGCCTTTTGCGTTCAAAAATCGAATAACTGCGTGCACTTCGCACTTGGTGGTAACGTTTACCGGGAGCTCCATTTTGAATAGCTGCCAAGCCAAGACTGAGCATCCGAGCGAAGTGGCTGTATGCTTATGTGGTTGCGGAGAAGGCACCACTCACAACAGTGTTGCCAACAACCGTATTAAAACTTTCTCTATGTCCCCAAAAAATAGGAGACCTTTTTTTTGGGATTGCCATCGTAGTATGGAAGGCAGGAAAAATTAATATAATTTAAAAATAAAATCACTATAGAAGATAACTGAGTGAAAAAGAGGAATAACTAAACAGACTTAATATTTCATTAATTTAGTTTTCTTTTAATTGAAATCAATCATCATTGACATTAAAATCAATTGACATTAAAAAGTTTGCACATTTCTGGATTGCAGACATGAAATTAAACACACATTGAGTTCCTACTATTTTGTGGATGCTATCAGAAACCCTGAAATTCAGCAGAGATCAAACAGCAGACAAAAAAGATCTGGAAAGCTCTCTTGCCTATGCCAAAGTGGCCCAGAAGGCCAGTAGAAGAAACATTTGTCCTGTAAAGGGTGTTCAAAGCACATAAGACACAATGTTGAACAAAATTGACAAAAAGAGTGGAAGCAATGGTTTACTGGTTTATTTTATTATGGCAAAGAACAGTAGGGTTACCTGCTAAGGGGAGCAAGGCCTTCAGGGAGGACTTTCTAAGGGAAACTGGTTCATATACATGTTACTCACGGGGAAACCCATGAGAATACCCATGCAGCCAGTCTGTTTGCCTGGATTTGAACAAAGTTTGGAACTACCAGTGTTCAGCAATTTAACCGCTCGGTCGCTGATGGGCCTTGAATGGAGTCCATGGAAGGATATGAGATGAAATCGAGTAACGATAAAAGTAAGATAAAATACTGGAACTATAATAGAGAAGGACATCTATGAAAACAGTGTCATGTGCTTCAAGTTCAAAAGACAAAAAATATGTCGGAAGAAAAGCTGGGGAACTACGTTCTTCAAATATCTTCAGTTCAGAGCGGAGAACAAGGACTGTGCAGAGTGCTCACTGCTGTGATCTTCGCATTGCTCTCTGCTGTCATGTATATATATATATATATATATATATATATACATACAACTTGATAATGTTTATATACAATATAATTTATCACATATAAAAAAGAACAGCTGTTTTAGCCATATTAATTCCATATTAACAAAACAGAGAAATAACTTAGATATAAAATCAAATAGGTATTTACACAGTCAGTCATTGCTACTAACTTAATAAGTCTTACTTTAATTCCTCTCATTACAATTATAAATATATTAGATTTTACATGTAATCTAAAAACTTATAAACAATGTAAAATACACAATCTAAAAATTACGTTAGTACTTTTTTATCCCATCATATCTATGTAAAGGAAGTGTAAAAATGTGAAAAGAAAGTGAAATGAGGAATTCTTAAAAAGGTTGACAGTAAGAAAAGTGTGAGGACTACTGATTTATTTAAATAGACACAGTATAAAGTCTTTAATCCAGACATCAATAATCCGGACCTCAAAGCCACAAACTTTCTGCACATGCGTAAACGCATACTCATGCACATAATATAATACCTTTATGCATGCGCATATGAGTTTACACATGCGCATTTAATGTATAACGGACAGTATAAGCTAGGCTAAAATTATCTAACTATCTATTTCAGTTAATGTTGCAGATTGCGTTGTTCCTTAATCTTCTAATTGGATCCGGCTTATTATTTTTTGCAGACTGTTTGAGCAATTTTATAAAAAGTAAGCTTGAACTTTCAATTATACCAAAAAGAGTTTCTGATTCTGGAGCTGCCAAAAGATCTACAAAGCGAAAGCATGTTTCGATGTCCATCAAACAAAAAGTGGAATTGCTGCAAGAAATGGACAAAGGCATATCCTTTGTTTCTCTAACCATTCCGAAATCTGTTTATCAATTTCACGCTGCTCTTAGGGGGGAAGACGTCATGGCGCACAATTAACTGGAAGTTGATCTCTCAGCAATATCCTCATCTTCAGAGCAGATGTTTTTATTTTATTTGGCTTATAATTTTTTACTAAATGTAGTATTTTATCTCGATGTACTCCATTTTTGATATGATTTTAATTAGATTCCTCGTCATTATAAATATCATGAATACACATCAACTAGTTTTCCGCTTACAATTTCCTAATTTCGACTATGCATAATGTGTGCTTTATGCATGCGCAGGTTGAAAGAAATGTTTGATAAAGTAAACAGATAAATATTATGCTTTTTTTTGTAAATTTTGATACCCTATAGATCATAATTGTTCTTTATTTCATAAATTATGGTTTCATATTTTTAATTTTATAATTTCTGCATGCCATCTTGCCACATTTAAATTGATGATCTATAATCCGGAAAAACCCCTAATCCAGAATCGCCGAAGTCCTGACGAGTCCGGATTAGACTTTGCACTTTACTTATTTTTTTAATAATGTCCCTATTTATGAATAGTAGGATGCAAATTGTTACACGAAAAAATTTAGTTTAATTTTAATGTACTTATATTAATTTCTTAGCTTTAAAGCAAATTCCGATACAATTCCTTAAATGACTAACCAATATCCCATTTTTTTCATAAAACTAAAAAAGTCTTACAGTCACACAGAAAGAGGGACTTAAGTTTATCATGAAGTAAATTTTCAATATAAATAAGACTTATAGAGTTCCCACAGCTTTATTGTTAACACTAGAAGAAACTAGCAATTATGACAAAGAAGAAGAAAGAAAAAAAGAAAGAGAAAAATTAAATAAACTTTTCCTTGATTTGAGTATATTCCTATGCAAAGAATACAATCTATGACTTTGAAGGTCTGGAATGCTTTCAATATGTTTCCATTAGCATGTAAGGGATTGAGGTCTCTAAACACAATCATTCAGAAGCACACATTCTTAATTTAATTTGATGTTGTGAGAGAAGATACAAATGAGAAAATTTTTCATATAATAATATCAAGTCTCACCTCTTATGGTCATTTGCATCTTCAAGAATGACAGAAAGTTTTTGTCTAGTGGCTGCATCAGTTGGTAAAGTTTTGTTTAATTTCTTTAACTCTGAGTTTAAATAGTACCACATTTCAAAAACACCATTTTCCAGTCTTCTTCTTGTTTCTTCAAATTCTTTGCTGGGTTCTCTAAATTCTGCATATGAAGTAAAATATATTGATAGTATAATTAAACAAAAATATCTTAACTATGAAATTTATTAACAGAAACTTTACTTATTTTTTATTCACAATATTATTAAGTATTGTATCATCACTGCACTAATGGAAGGTTTTACTCTCCAGTTTTCTCAAATATCAGCATTTTTCAGAATCATAGAATATTCCTGAGAATTACAGAATGTTTCAATTCTCACAGAAATTAAGTTCTCACTGAAACATAGTGTGCATGTATAACACTGGAAACACCAGATGGTGAAAACTATATGATAGATAAAATAAAATAGAATAGAAAAATTGTTTCAAGAAGTGCATAAATGTAGTAAGAATATGAGAAGAAAATCTATTCGAAAGAAATCTGATTACATTTACAGCAGCTATATGACTTATTTACCATGTAAGGTATTTCTCCCGCCTTCCTAGCATAGCATGCCTTCGTGGTGTAGTGGTCAGCCTGCTCAGCCAGTATTTCAGAGGTCCGTGGTTTGATTCCCAGTGAAGGCAATTGCTAATTTTTCATCTTGCCTGCTTCCAAAAATCCTAATGTCTCTACAGTGGCGCCTGAACTAAAAGGGTGCTAGATGATAATTCTCCTCACCCAGGATTTGGCAATTGGGTCCCCTTAAAACCCCAGTTGCCCTTTAAAAGGAGGAGTATGTAAGGTATTTCTCCCGGCTTCGTGGTGTAGTGGTCAGTACACTGAGCCGGTATTTCAGAGGTCTGTGGTTCTATTCCCGGCGAAGACGATTGCTAATTTTTCATCTTGCCTGCTTCCAAAAATCCTTATATCTCTACAACCATATGACTGTTACTACAAGGATTTAATATTATTCAAATTTTACCTAGAAGGACAAGATGCTTCCCTGTTAGTTTTTTGCCAACCTATTGCCAAAATGACCAGTACTCCTAACCAAGATCACTTATGAGAAGGGTTGCTGCTTTTGCAGATTCCATTAATAACAAAGCTCGTGACACCATTTAAATAATAAGGGCCATTAAAAAAAGATGTGCTAATTACTGTATATAGGATATAAAATTCCAAAGAATGGAGCAATTATCTCCACAAAACTTTTTTAATCATCAAGAAATTCAGAAAATGTGCAGAAAGATGATTAGAATGTAAGTAGGTAATTTACTTAAAAGAATCCCAATCAAATTTACAGCAGCCATATGATTTATTTACAATTGCTACAGGAGTTAACATCAGTCAAATTTTAACTAGAATTACATATATTGGATAAAATGTCACAGAATGGAAAAATTATCATAAAAAATTGCATTATTGAAAGAAAGGGAAAATAAAAATTCCTGGCTCCCAAGTTGTCAATAAAAGATTTTGATATCAACATCAAAGTTACTTTAAGCCCAATAAGCTCCCAGCAGTAGACAACTCACTAATACCTTTAAAAATATTCTTCCCAATGCACATTTATTTCAAACATCACATACTCATATAAAATTTTACTTAGAAAAAAATTAATAAGTTAGTGTAAGTTTTGAAATTTTATAAAAAAAGGCCTAATAGAAAATTTTCCTTACCCTGGTTTGCTTCCAATTCTCCTTTAATTTTCTCTACTTTTATTTCTTGATCCTTCGCGGGAATAGATATTAATTTTTCTTTTTTTCCAGAGGATGGTGATAACCTTCAATAAAAATTAACAAAAATATATTTTAACAACAGCCTGCTTTCTTTTTATAATTAAAAAAAAAAAACTTCAAAGGGGGAAAAAACTTAAAATTCATGAAATGCAATTAATAACAATAATAAATAATAAAAATACAAAGCAATATAATAATAAATTACTAAGCAAAATTTTTTTAACTGTATTTGAAATTTAATTTATACTACACATACAGGGTGCATCAATGGGCCTTGTTAAACTGTTATTTAAATAACTCTTTAAATGATTGAGCTAGTACTGGCAAATTTTGAATGCTTGCACAGGGGTCCAAAGGAAATTTATTTATGAGGCCTGATTATTATTATTTTTCGCCTGACTAAAATAGACCAGTACTCAACTTTTTATCTTTAGATATGATAAAATACCCAGAAAGAATCTAGTACCTTTAAAAATAGGCCAATTTATCAAGCACTTTATTTGCATTATTACAGGCTTGAACAAACAGGTTCAGAGCAAGATAAACAAAGATAGCATGCAGACCAAACAAAAGACAGCAAAGATAATCAAAATTATCATATTTGCCAAAACAATAATGGAGAATGCCAACTCAACATCTGGCTCAGTAACTTTGCATCAGTCCATCCACAGCATGGAAAATAATCATCAACAGCCTAAGATCTTAACATTTTCCATTAAAAAATCCAGCTAGAACAACATTTTGGGCCAGATGTAGTTGCAAAAAGATTGGTTTTTGCTAATATCATATGCTAAATGATCAATGCTGGTTTCAATCCTGGTAATACCACTTTTTCCAATGAGACACATTTCTGGTAAATGGCTCTGTCAATTATGAAAATTATCAGACTTAGGGCAGCAAGAAACCTGGGTGTTGTCAAGCATCTTCATTGTCCTTGAAATATTTGTCAAGCCTCTTTAGCCACAAAAAAATCACCATATGGTATGATTTGTAAGCTAACAAGATCTTTTGTTTATATGTTTTTGACCGGGAAGTAAATTCAAAATGCTACATCCAGTTCTTGAGAACGAGGTTATTGATTTTACTATAGACATTAGATCTAAGATGCATGTTTTCAACAGGATGGAGCTCATCCACATTTAGCAGTTGACATCCTAGACTTGCTTTGAAAAATGTGTTTGGTCCCACTACAGTCGTAACTTACTGTCACTTAATGTCTTCTTATTGGGTTAGGTTAAAGTTTAGAAATATTGACCAAAAACCGTAGAAGAGCTGAAAACAATGATATTTAGTGTCATACAGTTGGTTTCAATAGACCAAACTCAAGCAGGTTATCGAGAACTTTGGAGCTAAGACTTCGTTCTGCAGTCTTCTTAAATGGCAAACATATTGAGACACTTTTCTTTTAACTTCTATATTCTCATGTGTAAATTCTGAAAATAAAAAAAATAAAAAAAAAAAAAAAATAAAAAAAAAAAAAATCTTTTTCTGTTTAATAATTGCTCAGTTTTTCATTATGAAACTCAATATAAGTAACCAGCATTATTAACAATACCACAGGTGATAGGTTTGATCCACCACAAATAAGAAACAAGTCAACTAGACCACAACCACAGACAGCACCAGAACAATGAAAACGATCAGTACTCAGATCACATCAAAGTTGCTTTGGTTTCTAGCATTATTTCAGATTATAGATAAATTAGTCTATGAGGAAAAACATATCTGATCTAGGCCAACATAAGTTTTCTAAAATAACTGGTTTAAGTATTTAATGATACTCATATAAAGAAAATTTACAATAAAAGCGAGATTTGAAAAAGTTGGCTATGCTAATATACAGTTTTAGTTTTATTCATTGTAAACTTTCTCTAACAAGAAACTGATCTAAAACAATAACAAATTAATGAAAAATATTCAAACACAAATAGTGCATACACACTTTGGTAAGAAATTTATCACTGATAATTGTTGCATGTATACATCTGTTTCTGTAAGAATGAGTCAATATTCATTAATTGTTATTTGACAGATAACAATGCATGAAACTCTTTTAATATAATCTCTTTTGGAACATTCTCATCCTCATCACACTCTTTCACTTAGCATGAATATGTTATTTATAATATCCATAGCATCATGTTATTCAAACCACACAGTTTATTTATTTATTTATCTATCTATCTTTTGCACAGTAACATCACTCTTAATCCTAGTTGTGATGACAAAAGGTAAATATTCAAAGTAATCAAGAAAATATCAGTATTACTAGTAGCAAAAATAATGCATTTATTTAATAACAAATTCAAATGGGCTAATTCCTTATCACTTAATTGAAAGAAAAAAAAAAAGCAAATTTTGATAAGTACAGAGTGATTCAAAGGTCTGTAGTGATTTCAACTGACTTTCTTTCCCCAATTTACAACCAAGTAATACATGAAATAAAAGAAAATTGTCCAAGTTTTACTGGAGACATTTTGTATGACTTCTTTTAATCATACCAATCATACAAAGACATTCTTTACACACTTATTCTAATGTATTTTTTTCTGCTGTCCCCTCTCCAGCAAGGATTGTTGTAGGAGTTGTTGTCCACAGTGGGAGGAGATCTGAGGTCATATAGCTTTGTCAATATTTTGGCAACTAAGTTTGCACAGCATCTTAAATCCAAAGGAACAAAACACATGATTCAGATTAGCTGGTAAAATCAAGTTATTAGGTTTACTGCAATTGAATGACCAACATATTGATGATATTCTCAAACTCTGATTTTAACTTTCCATTTGAAGTATATTAAATTAATACATGGCTACTAGATATGGAATTATGGTTATTTGAAATCAAATAAATCATTCTGAACCCCTCTATATAATTTTAAAAAAAGTGTCTGTGATTAATTTAACAGCATTACTAATCAAAGGTACATTTCCACTATATATGTGTCACAAATAAATATATACGATTTTTTATGACAATATTAATAAGTTTTATAATGTAATAATTGTCACATAAACTCTAATAAGTATAACTTCAGACAGTCACATGAGGTGCCCCACTATCATTTATTATGCATTTTGCACTGCCTTACATTCTTTCAACTGTTTTTGTATGACATCCAATGCTGGGTCTACAAAACTGTATCTGTGGGTGAACTGTAAGATGATCATATACTGCTTCTGTCAAAACTTATGTTTTATACCCTTTCCAGCAATCAGAAAAAATTTTACTACCATGTGTGACATTTTTTTCAGTCACAACAAGTAAAATTTTAGCTGTGCAATTCAGAACAGCTGCAAGAAAACCTTATTTTGTTTCTCTACAAAGGCTTCTAAAAATCCACCATTGAAGAAGAACACATCCAACATAACTCTTTCTTTTCAAATACAGACCTTTGTCATAATTTCTACTATTCTATCATTTCAACCCAGTTTTAACTTCAAGTCTACATAACAAGGCATGGCCCCAAACCTCCCTTATACAACTGTTCCAGATGATGACAGTATTGCAGCTTATTTTCATTGCATATTACAAAACTCAAATGATGTCAATTCATGGCACCAAGAATACAAAAATTTTACAGCTGTAAGGAAATTTAGGCATGATCCTTCAAACCAAGTGTGAGATATGGCACCTGCTTTTTCTTGGCAAGATCTAAGGTTGCAATACCATTTTGACATATCATAATTGGTAAAACACAACATCATTTCACTATTAATTTTACAAAACTTTCGTCTGTGAAGAATTCCTGTAGAAGCTTCAATGCTTCCTGCTCCTCTTTAGGTAACCACAGATTGTGAAATATACTTTCTTTTTTCTTTGTTTTTTATTAAAAAAGTGCTTTTAGTCAAATAATAGATATGAAGAAAGTCATCTCTCATATCATGTTTCATGCAGTTTTAAAAAAGGTTGCAACCCATAACACTTGAATATTTGGCTCAATTTCATTCATAAAACCCAGATCACTTAGTTGATGCTACCTTTGGCATGTTATCACACATTTAAGCAATATTTTTTCATGAACCTCATATAAGAGAAACATACCGATTAAAATAATCCTGATCATGCACTAATTGCATATGATATGCTTTTATTTTTATTTAATTTTTAAAAGGCAATGACACAACTTATAAAAATTGGATTAACATTTTCAAATTTATTTACGTATCATGTTTTGCAAAAATTAGTTTAACTGTGTTAATCAAAGTAATGCAAAACATGCACAATTACATAAAATATGCTTTTATTTTTGTTCAGTTTAAAAACTTAATGATACAACTTAAAATATTACAAACATTCTTATAGTTATTTAGCTATTAGGATTCGCAAAAATTACTATCATGCAATTTAATTACGATTCGATTTCAAAAAATCAATTTACAATCTATTTAGTATCACTATAGGCTAGTCTATGACACTATTTTTTTTTAAAGCAAAGTAAAATCTTCATATTTTTGTGACTAAAATTTTAGTCATGGCAAAAATTTCATATATTTATTATTTAAATTTTATTCAAAATAAAATCTTCATACATCCATTCTTCTCCCACCCATCTCCTATTTTTTTGGAATTTGTTATTTTGATTTTGATTTTACTTTTGCCTAATTAACCTAATTAATATTATAAGCACAAATTAAACACATATAAATATTAAAAAATGGTTTAAAACCTTAATGCCTTAGTATTAAGTCTTTGTACTAAAGACTAACTAAATAGACTTCAACCAAGTCTTTACAGTAAAGTTTTATAATTTCGCTTACGTTTTCAATTCTTAGGATTATGTGCTCTTTGTTTAAAGGTAAAATTTTGATTTGAACACACATACACATTTAAATGTTGAATTTTTTAAGGTTTAAACTATTAATTATGCAATATAACTTAAGTTGTTCTTTTTCTTTTATCTAAATTTCTGGCCTGTAATATAAATCTTAATATGTGTGGCATTTTCTTTTATTCTGTTAAAACACAATGTATTAACATTTAGATAACACATTAAATTTCTAAATTTCCGGCCTGTAATATAAATCTTAATATGTGTGGCATTTTC